CATTACTCTGAGAAGCACAGAGCCGGAGACAGAAGCCTGAAGATGATATATATGATATATATATATATGATTAGATTCAACTTTATTGTCATTGACATGGAAACAGGCAACGAAATGCCATTAGCATCCAACCAAAAGTGCAAAACAACAGTAAAATATAAATATACGTATGCAAATATGCAAGGCATCTATGAATAGTGGAAAACACTCTGGAAAACACAACAAAATATATGTACACGAGCACACAAGGATAAATGTGACTGCGCATATATGAACATATAAAACTGTACAAAATGTTTATGGACACATTGAATGTGTGTGTGTGTGACCATTCTTTTTCCTGAAGTCCAGAATGAGTTCTTTGGTCTTGTTAGTATTAAGTTATTGTCAGCGCACCACGTAGCTAGGCACTGTACATCCTCCCTTTACTCTGAATCATCGTCATCGTTGATGAGTCCGATCACCGTAGTATCATCTGTGAGCTTGATAATAGTGTTAGAGCCATACACAGGCCTGTAGTCATAGATGAAGAGAGAGAACAGGAAGGGGCTCAGCCCACAGCCTTGGGGTACACCAGGACTCAGCGTGATAGTAGATGAAGTGGAATTGTTCAACTTGACATGTTGTGGTCTGTTTGTCAAAAAGTCCAGTATCCAAAGAGTAGTGTTAATAGCAAGGTCACCAAGTTTAGTGATCAACCTGGAGGGAATGATTGTATTAAATGCTGAACTGAAGTCAAACAGCATTCTAGCATAGGTATTGCTATTGACCAGGTGTGTTAAAGTGATTTGTAATGCTATGGAAATAGCATCCTCAGTACTCCTATTCTTGCTCTAGGCAAATTGGTAAGGGTCCAGTGTTGTTGGGAGGCAAGTTTTGAGATGTCCCAGGACTAGTCACTTGAAGCATTTAATGATTGTAGGTGAAGTGCTATAGGGCGGTAGTCATTCAGACACTCTGGCTTGGAGTGTTTAGGCACCAGCACGATGGAGGTGGTCTTGAAGCAAGCTGGCATATATGAAAAGAAACAGACATCTTGCAATCTCCAATTATATTTATTACATTTACTAAGCTTTTGTCAGCCTCTGCTGACATCGTCAGAGTATTAAACTACCATTACAGAGATCTATGCCTTTATATAGTATTAATCAATTTAGCCCTTGCACGGTAATAGGCCCTTCCAACTGCCTCCCACCTGTAAATAACTCTGTTGTTTTTGCTTCAGTTATGTTGGTCAGAGAAGGTTTAACTCCTGCTGTTTTCCCCCTTACCAAACACAGCTTGGATTGCTTATCTCTAAGAAGTGATGTTAACCTGTCAGCTACTGCAATTTGTTGCTTTGCCCATGACCTTCTGGTCGGCTCAGCTCATTCTTCATTATTCTTGTCTGCTATAGCTTGAGGCAACTCTGCCAGGCCCTCTGTATTTGGTCAGGCCTGGCTGTGCCTTCATAGGATGAATCCATATGCCCAGGGTTGGGGGGGGGGGGTGCCATCAGTCTCTGCTCCCAGATGGGAAGTGATCTCTGCTCCTCCTGCAGAGTCTCTTCTGGTGTCTCAATGCCTGGTAGGCCGGTGGCAGTTCAATATGCCTATTGATGGAATTGCTGTCAGTAAACTAGGCTTCTTTTAGTGGGAGTCCTCCTTTGTATCACGGGCAACAACTTCAGCCTCTTGAAAACTGAGTGTGTGATTATGCTCCTTCATATGTGCCCAGATCTGAGAGCGCTATTCTTTGCACCAGTCAGCCAGTTCGTGTTTGTGTACTCTGGTCTGTAACCGCTTGGCCGTTTCCCCTACCAAATTACTTGCACAGTCACTACAGTTGAAGCGGTAAACCACCGAAGATTTTTAGAATAGTTTGGTGTGTGTGTATATATATGTATATATGTGTGTGTGTGTGTGTGTGTGTGTGTGTGTGTGTATACGTGGATCTTTGGTTGTTCGGGTTTTCTCCCGCGTAAGATTCGAAGTATCTAGGCAACGTTTCGATGAAGTCTCATTCATCATTTTCAGGCTTCTGTCTTCGGCTCTGTGCT